AACTTTGAACGAATTTTACTGTATGATCTGATTGAACTCTAAAGTGCCTTGAGATGACATGTGTTGTGGATTGGCGCTATAGTAATAAACTGAATAGAATTAAATCAATCAACAGGCTTTTGCCTTCTCCCATGGTATCCAACAGAAAGAGCACAACTTGTGTAAAATAACACATCTACCTTACAAGCTAGAAATAATTGGAATATTAATAACTAAGCCCAAACAGGGTCATAATACTCTTAAACAGTACATGAATAAGAAAAAATAAATAAACACAATAATCCCACACCAAGAATATTGAAATATCACATACCTGCATTCACATAGAAGATAGTAATCAACAGGACTTTTCTTGTCAGTGTTCCACAGCACCTGTTTAACCATGAACAATACTATTTTCAGCACGTGAATGTAGCATCGCTGCTTAAAGTTCAAATGCTCCTAAACATATTATTTTATAAGAACAATAATCAAACTGTCACTTATCACGCTTAAAATACACTTATTGAACACAGAAACAAAACTTCATACCCATGGAATCCAACAGAAAGAGCGCGACGGAGAGCGTGGAAAACCCTTCACAGTCATAATGGTATGATCCGTTCATTTTTCTTTTTAAAATCCAAACTAACACTCAAAACAACAATCCATGCACTCAAAATGTTTGATATTAAAGATAATATTTCACTTTTTCGTTGGCAACACATTACATTTACATAAAAATAATAACTTTGAAACAGTAAGTTACCTGCAGGGCCACGCTTAATTAACGGCGGTGGCAGCTGTGTCACAGGTCCGGTGGCACTTCCGGTGGCTCGTTCTGACTCGCTGGCTCTGTTCGAAAACCTATGGTCGATCACCCTTTACTGACTGCTGCCTCCAGGCGGTTTCAGTCCTTCAACATACTTTGCCTTTTTTCACAACATACCTTTTTCAATTTATTTGAGCTTTTTTGTAATTTAATTTAAGGTTAATTCCTCCATTTACAAGTTTTTTTCTCTGTTATAAACTTTTAATTTCACCCTATTTTGTGCCCTACTTACTTTCTTTAAAAACAAAATAATTTTATAGTTGTTTTTTTTTTAGCTATGAGTTATTAATTTCCTGTAAAAGTTTAGATTTTTCGTTCTTTAAAAGCACCATTGAAATTAAAATCTGTCCCATTATCTACAGGTAATCTACCGGTTTCCAATATGCACACCATTCCTCTGGTGCCGACCTGGATAACTGGGGTAGATCCCACTCTAGATTACCAACGTCTCAGTAAAATTAAATGCCTTCTGGTGGCACCTACAACCTTCCTCTCAGTCTTAGAACTTCACGTTCCATGCGAGGTTCTTTTGGTTCACAGGTGGGAAAAAAACAGAATTACCTTTCGTGTCCCCAAAAGAAAAGTTATCTTTTATTTTGTATGTATATCCTTTAGTATTATACTGATTTTAGTGAATTAAATGATTAACCTATTAATATTCAATTTAGTTAGTTTTTTTGCTAGATTACATCTATTTATTTGATTATTTTTATGGAGAAGAAGAGGATTTTGTTTAAACTAATTTTCCCGTATTTGATTTCTAATTATCTTTAAATCTGTTAACAACCTGTTGTTTTGTAATTTCGTTTTTGAAATTTAATTTAAACTGTGCCGACAAAAGATTCATCTCACCATCTCAAAAATAAATGGTTTGTTTTGATCCTCCTGCTGACCTCCAGGGACCTCGATGTCAGAAGTCCTCACTCCCTTAACCTTCTAACGGGGTATTGAGGCTGGAAGACTGGCTCCTCCAGGTGGTACCTGACACCTGACAATCACTGTCCTCAGAAAAAATCAGTCAAAGAGAATCCTGCTTTGAAAACACCAAATTGTCGTGGGAAAAAAAGTATTCAAATATTCATCCTAGTTAAATAAACAGAGATTGATGGATTTCACTCAGTCGACACATTTATTCATATCTTTGCACAGCATTCTGCCCTGTTCTGCATGAGCAGTGTTTGTTCCCCCTTACTTACAACAATGGAAAAGTAGTCAGAGTCAAAACAAATTACAGGCACTTTGGTTAACAGTAACATGTTATGAATAAACCTTGAGAAAGAATCTGGTTTGTTATGGGAAGAAGCTATGTCTGGTCTACAGACACCATCCTGCAGAGAATGGTGTGGCCTTCAAGGTGAAACAGATTGAGTGAAAATGTTTATAGTGAGTAAAAGGGATAAATTAATATATAATAGAAGAGAAATCAAAAATTTCCGACTACAGTATCTTTACCTGAGTAGTTTTTTTTTGGGTGGTGCTTTTTAAACTTTCACTCCACTACATTTCCAGGAAGTTGCTAGTTCCATGTTTCATTGGCTCAGCTTAGCTTTGTAATCCGCTGTTGCTGTTTATCTTTCTTGAAATGCAGTTTTAACATAGCAGCCTTTAGGACTGTTTTAGAGATTTAATGACGTTCCACAGATGTGAGAAACTCAGGGCAGATATTATTTTTAGTTTATATTGTTATTAAGGTGTTAGTTGTTTACATGTGGCCAAGTTGTTCAGCAGGATGAGTTCTCAAATCAGTTAAGGGTTCTTTGTGGTAATAGATTCAACCTTAAACATCTATTCGATAATGAAAGCATGAGGAGAATTTAGCTTGTTTTTTGTTTTGTTTTTATAAAAAATAAGAATCAAAATATCAGTTCTTTTTTATGGCCTTTTTATACTGAAGGTGGTGTAAAATCTACAGCAGGTAGTTCTTTGCATCAATACAGGCTCTGCAAAATTACTCTGAAAATTAGACAGAAATGTACTGATATAAAAACATTACATTTTTACTTTCGACTACTTTAAGGGAAACACCATTTTTTTACATTGGCCCCTTGATTTTACGTTATTACATTATGTTCTACCAGATCTGGAGTCAACAAGTCATCTGTAAGTCATCTATTTATTCTACTCAGAATGATGCTACTATATACTTTAAGATTATGTGTCTTAATATTTCCTCTATCTGGAATATCATAATGTCTTAACCTAATCATCATTTAGATGGCAATTAGCTAATTATTATGTAAAAACTCTATTATTTAATTTTAATCAGAATTTTGTAATTAACCTCTTCTTTTCCTTTGCTCTGAAAACCAGGCAGTAAAAGAAGAATCCTTTAGCCTGAATGCTCAGATATATTCACTTCATGACTCTTGGCCTTAAAAAATTTACATATACAACAACTTATTGAATAAAAACAACAACCTGTGAGTTACTGCATTTCCCTTTTGGATCAATGTGGTATTTTTCAATTAAATGGCATTTTTGCTTTTTTATGAAGTAATAATGTATTAAATTTGAGACATGAGGACTTTTTAGTCTAATAATGTAAATTAGTAAGGTTTCTATGGTGACGCTTAATGTTGTACATGAAGTGTGAACTTTGCTCGCTAAGTAGATTTTCAGGTTTTTAATGATCTTGGATTTTAGAGCAGAATCTCCAAAGCCAACATATGTCACTTCATTTTTCTGTTTGGTATTAAAGGAGAAGTCGCTCATATTCAGAATTCAAACTTCTGAAAGTTCTTTAAATATGAAATTATTCCATCCTGTGCAATAAATGATCAGTGTTTTTAATTCACAGTAATTTTCATGTCAATGTGCTTTACTGGAGGCATCCATGTTTGTCAAAGAACACTACTGCCACCTACTGGTTTGTGACGTCACGGTGCGGTATCGGCTGTTGATCAAGTCCCAGTGCTGTATCTGGTGTTTGTCTCAACGCGCTATTATCCAAGTCATCTTGAAAACATTCTTCTTCCAAATGTTGGCTACATATTACGGGTTTTTTCTCTGGCCAGAAGTTCGATGGCAAATCCTCCCTCTTCAAGTTGGCGATCCAACGACCAACCCGTCCGTGGAGGATCAGGAATCAGAAAGGTGAAATAACTCTTTTTTTCACTTTTACCCGATGTATTCCAACATCCAGCTGCCATGCACGTGGGCATTGTCAGTTTCACTATAGCTCTGGTGAATTTCAATGGTGAAGTCCTCTGGAAATCTTCAATAATTGTTGTTGATTGCAGATGTGTCTAGTAGTTCCCATTGATTTAGCTTGTAAAGCGGGGAGAATGGCGCTAGGCTTACCGCACCGTGACGTCACTGCTGGAAGATGGCAGGAGGGAGGGGCTACTATATTTGGGCAAAAATGGCCGCTCCCAGACTCAGTGATCACAATGAAAATTCCTTGCTGACTAGACTTTTACTTTAATCCAGCTACAAAGTGGGCTGTCATTACATTTGATACTGGTTGGTGATTGGGAGGGAATATAAGCAATATTAGTAACACATCAGAGATCAGCCCAGGCTTTTATTGGAGAAAACTTTAAAAATACAGATTCAGCACAATGTTGTTAGGCTGTCAGTCCAGACTTCACCACAACTTTTCACAAGTGAAGCAGCAATTTACTGCAGTTCAATCAACCTTATTCGGTTTTGAATTTCAGTGAAAGTCTGACATTCATGCAGTCCAGTCTAATCCAGTTAAACCTTTTGTTCATTTTAATATAACATCAATCTCAGATTGTTAGCAGCACCGTGAAAACCATCTAGCATAAAGCTGATGAATATTTGTTTTTTTCCCCACAGCAGCTAGCTTCATAATCCCAAAAAACCCAACTGGATCCAATAGTCTGCGATGGACTGGCGACATGTCCAGGGTGTACCCTGCCTCTCGCCTGTAGACAGCTGGAGGTAGACACCAGCATCCCTCGTGACCCCACTTGGGATTAAGCGTGCAAGAAAATGGATGGATGGATGGATGGATCCAATAGTAAAGTGAAATGTAATGTTTATCATGCAAACATCCGTTTTCCTCTGGATTCAGCAGTTTTTCATTCAGTCCGTCTTTTTTTGTAAACAGATATGGTTGAAAAAGTTGGATATAAACATACAAAAATGGTTCACTTTCAATTAATGACAAGTATATCAGTTAAATAAGCGGATGTTTCCCACATCTGTCAGATGTATTTAAGGTTTAAGAGTAAATAGACCAGTAGATGATGTTGAAGAGGATATATGACCCAGGAAAGATGACCCTGGAGTACTTGTCTATGGCGTGTGTGTCAATCCAGACGCTGCTGTAGGCCCTGGAGCCAACATGGCCGGTCACCTGGTCCGTCTCCATGGCCAGTTCAACCAGCATTCTTTGTCTTCTTACTCCATTCTCCTCCGGCATGCCGTAGTTTCCTGTGGTGTTGACGTCCACCTCGCTGTAGCTCGCTGACATCATGCCAGGGTGAGCTATGCCGCAAGTACATGGCAGCTGCAATGAGAGTGAGTCATGCAAAGTTATTGCAAACCCTGCAAACAACTGTTGGTCAACATAAAATGTCCAAAATAAAGAAGACCACAAACACTGTGGTCTACGGCAGAAACTACGGTCTTACTTGGACCTTCTTTTTTTGAATGTTACCAGCAACTGAAACGTAAACCACCAGAAGTTTTTGTGTGCTTGTTTTTTTCAATTATATTTTTATTTAGTTTTATATATATATATATATATATATATATATATATATATATATATATATATATATTTTACTTGTAGAAAGAGACAGTAATCAAAACAATAATATCCATAAAATGAACAGTCACTATTTGAACAAAACATTCACATACTTCACACACTTAATAAATACAATAAAACTTAATAAAACACAAACACTCAGCAGTTTTGAGTTGTTTGAGCACTTTCATGTTTTAGAAACTCTATCAAAGGAACCCATACAGTCTCAAACTCTGCAGCCCTTCCCCCTGCTTATATAAGTCAGCCTTTCCAACATAATTTTCAATTCAGTTTATTTCTATAGCGCCAATTCCCAACACATTTCATCTCAAGGCACTTTCCAGTTCATCAGATCATCCAGTCAGATTGATTCAAAGTTTTCTATCTAATGAAAACCAGCTGATTGCATCGACTCCTTGACTCAAATACAATCCCTCACACTAAGCATGCTTGTAGCGACAGTGGGGAGGAAAAACTCCCTTTGAACAGGAAGAAACCTCCAACAGAACCAGGCTCAGTGTCAGCGGCCATCTGCCGAGGCCGACTGGGGTTCAAGGAGACAGAAGCAGACATAGAAAAAGAAGCATAGATACAAAGGGAAACTGTTAATCAGCTCCACAGGCGGCCCCGTCCAGGAAACACACAGCCAGGTAGACGAGCTCCGAGCCAGCTCCCATGTCAGAGGATGAAGAGAGCACATCCAGTTAGTCACAGTCAGAGAAACAGGAATACACTGAAAAACAGGCCGATCTCCAACATCTATAAACAAAGGTGTTGATGGCAGCAGCACAGAACAGAAGATGCACTCTCCTTAATCCACATATGTATCGAGGTCACATCCATTTTTCTCCAGGACAGAGCTATCATCCTCCTCGCCTACAGGAGTCGTTACAGTTACAGTAACAGATTTTTGGATACATACATAGTATACATATTTCTGGCAGGTGAGGTATCTTAACTCTGCTGATCTCAGATAAAGTCAGAATGATTTACTTCCAATATGTTTTTATATTTGGGCAATCCCATATGCAGTGATATAGAATACCCTTTCCTTCCAAACACTTAATGCATGTGTCTGGCGCATCAGGAGACCACTGATTTAACGTAACCGGGGTAATGTATGTTCTCATCAACAATTTATGTTGTAATTGTTTCATTCTAGTGTTGATAGATTGTTTTGGGGCTTTAAAGGAATAGTACACCCAAAACATGATTAGCCTTCATTTTCTACTCACCCCCATGCTGAACAACACTCTGGAGTACTTTTTTGATATCTCAAATGCATCTGGAGATCTGGGAGGCTTCTTGCTGTCTGCTGACATTCAAATAATGGAGGTCTATGGTGACCGAGACAGAAAGGTCCATAAAAGTCCACAAAAAACGTGTCAATATTCCTCCATACTGCTCGTCCAATGTATTCCAAGTGTCCTGAGTGGGTAGCATCCAGAATTTACTCGAAACAAAGTCATTTAGAAGGTTTTTAGAGCATAAACAGTAGTGTATAGGATTTCCTGAAAGCGCGCACATGCGCGATCACGACGCTACGGAAGCCGGCAGACCAAACCAGATGAAAGTGCGCATTCAGCGTCTGCTCTTCCAATAATGCAAGCGTAGAAGAAGAAATGTGCCGTTTACCTGTGCAAAGAAAGAAACAACGAAAGAAAAATGTCTGAGGACTTCAGTGTTGAGGAAGAGCATGAGTTCTTTGCCGAGCTGAATGCGCTGGTTTGGTCTGCCGGCTTCCGTAGCGTCGGGATCGCGCATGTGCACGATGGATGGATGATTCCGGACCTTTACTGGTTGATGATTTTCTTTATTCGGACTCCGCTGGTTTTTAATTGGTGTCCCCAGACATAGAGAATGTGAAGAAGCTTGTTTCTATAGGTGAAGATTCTCAATCATCCAGGTCATAGTGGTTCCACAAAGTTTAACAATACACTTGACTTTGTTTCCAAGTTTAAAGATGTTTCTTTTCCCATCCAGGAAGCTTTTTCATTTCAAAATGTCAGAAATAGGGTTGAGTTCCAGGTTTTATCAAGCAGCCCAACAAAGCCTTTTTTTTTGTTTAGAAAACATGCAAAGTGAAACGGACGAACGGGTCCATCCCTTTGTAATGGGGGTCTTTCGGCTTCTTTGTTAGCCTGCAATGCCCCATACCTGTCTATGTCTCTGAAAGAAAGAAAAAACAACCTTAAACAGAGGGGGTGGACTCAGATTTCAGCTGTCAAAAACCTACAATGCAGCAATAGAGTTGATTCCTTCCCGCTATCATCGCAACCCCAACCCCTTTACAAGGGGAACAGAAGAGCTCGGCTATTCAGCCAGGCCAACTATTCCCTTTAACTACCCCCTTTCAGAGACATAGACAGGTATGGGACATTGCAGGCCTGGATGGGAAGAGAAACGTCTTCAAAATTGGAAACCAAGTTCAGTGGATTGTTTTTTTTTTTACTTTTTTGGAAGCTTGTTTCTATTTCTTGCAAATATTTCTTTACATCTAGAGACATGTGATTAAAAACCCCAAAGATAAAGAAGACCAAACCTGGCTGACTGATGATCTTAAACCACCGCTAACCGATAATAACCCCACGCTTTCGGAATAGTGCTGAAACATCTTAAAGAAACAAGAGGAGGTCTGTTTATTTCTTTCACTGCTCACAAACAGCTGTTGTCTCAATAGCCCTATTATTACTCAGCCATCTTGGAGCTCAATAGTGATCCTTGAGGAGCTGTCATCCTGGCCATCATGGGTTAAAAGATTACTGGCCTTTCGCCCTGATAACTGTGGCCATGATATCCTTCATTGGTATGGTGCTGAACCATCTGGGATATCACAGGCAGCCCTGCTAGACCCCCTGGGGTTTGTTTATATGAAGCAGGATCCGATATCTGCCAGGATCCATTATTTGAGGACTTTAACTCAGACATGCTACAGAAGCTCAACCTGCTCACAGGGTCATTATCCACCTATCAGTGGATCATCATCACCTTAAATGACCAGCAGCAGCAGGAGAGGCTGGGGCACCAGTATCCCCAGTAAATGTGCCATCTCCGTTCCTCTCTCTTCCCTCTATACTACTGGACAAGCCATTGGTTTCACCCAGAACAGAAGCTCAAAGATTGATTCATCTCACAACTAAGTTTCACAGTAATAACTGCTGACTAAAAGCTTACTTTCAAAACCAGACTGGTTAGCATCTCATTGATATCCTGATGGTACCAACCTTCTCACGCAGTTTCCTTTCCTTGCGCTCCTGTAGAGTGGACAGGTAGTTGACTGCAGCATATTCTATGACGGACAGAAACACGAAGACGAAGCTGATCCACAGATAGACGTCCACAGCTTTGATGTAAGACACCCTGGGCATGGAGGCATTTACTCCGGTGATGATGGTGGACATGGTTAGCACAGTAGTTATACCTAAAGCAGGGAGACATGTTAGACTTACATTTGAAGTAGCACAAGGCCACAGTCAGAGTTAACCACAGCTGAGGACTATGGTTTCATTTTCATTGTCTGCCTTTCACAAAAAACATACATCTTTTATTTTAGCATTGGAAGAATTGAATATATTGGTGTATTTGGGCAGTTCTTCTTTTGTTTAGTTTGAATGGTTTCTTTAGAATACAATAAAAAACATGCATTGTAAAATATCTAGTAGCTAACACATCAAATGTGTGCAAACATTCAGTTTTTCCAATGTCTGAGGCACAGAGGTGAGTGATGGTGACTCATTCCGTCTTTGTTAGAGATCTAGTGTAATATTGATCAGTTTACCTTGACTGTTCTAAGAACAAGCAGACTTGTTTCTAATGGGCATTTTGTAAACATTTTGCTCTCAGGCAGAGGAAAAAGGATTCAAAACGTTCAAAAACGTAAATATCGCAAAAAGTACTTTCTACTAATAACCTCTGACAGTTGCACTCTTCTCATATGAAGTGATCATACACAGCTTAAGACAAATCCTGATTCCACAAAAAGACATAAACATTTGACCTTTTCCTCTCTTGTTATAAATTCATTGAATAAGTTATATGGAGTGATCAGGACTGAAAACAATAACATTACACTAATGGTAGGCATCAATTCAGATTTACATTTATTAGTTTTCACTGATAAGAAATGTTCTTTTTACTGTCTTCTGTCAGCCATTCCCTCTTCTGATATTCTTTGCTCTCTCTGGGTGACATTCTCTCATTTCTTTCTTTTTTTCATTCTGAATTTACTCTTGTGCAGAAATTGCAGCTCTGCTCTTTTAGGCAGTGCAAGGGGGAAGTCCTTGGTCATGATTGTGTAGGCCTAAATAAATCTGCTCAGGCTTTGAGAAGCTAAGAATACCCAGACCCTGAAAATAAACAAACAAATGGTATTTTCATTGTATGACAAATTTTAGAGAAAGTGTTTAAAAAGATTGCATCAAACTAAATAAGAACACAGAAATAGAACCTGAGGCTTTGACATTCTTTGAGCTATATTTAACAAACTACTGCATTTGCACAGGGCCCACTAAACATTATGCAGGTGTTTTCATCATTTCAAATTGTTCCTTATAACCTTGTTGCTAATAAGTCATTACTTCTTGGAGTTTTCCCATTCTGACACTTTAGCATCTTTAAAAATCAGAGGATTAAGTAAATTTAGGAGTCAGCCAGTTACACAAAAATACGGTCAGAGCTACAGTATTTGTGAAGAATGTTATAGATGCAATATAATTTCTTTGTTTATTGAGCTTGCAGATAAAATATCTCCACCTGACAACACAATTCCTAAAATGATTTAATTTTTTACAATTTTTCTTTTATATTTGTTAGCATCAAATGTAAAGTGATCAGATAACTAATATTTTGAGATGTGTATCTAATGCCAATAACCAGTATTCTCTGACCGAGGGGCACTCTGGCGGGAACAGCCCTGCGGTCGATCCAGAAGGACACCCAGGACAGCATGACCATTAAAGTGGCAGGAAAGTATGTCTGCAGCAGGAAGAAAAAGATGTGCCGCCGGAGCGTGAAGTTAATGTACAAACGATTGTACCAGCCTGCAGAGGAGAACAAGGAGAGGATTAGGCTTCAGAGTCCTGAACCATGAGTGTAGACACAGCTCCCCATTACTGACAGCACCTGTGCTGCTGTAAAAGGCCAGCTTTGTAGTCGTATGAAACTCCTGGATGAGGAACTGAGAGAGAGAGATTTTCTCATCCGTGTTTAAAGACTTGTTCCCCTCCTTCCAGTACAGTAACAGGTCATCATCTGTGTATGCATCTAAAGAATAAATAAAAACAATAAGATTTTGTAAAAATTGAAGTAAAGCCAAAAGTATGAACAAAACAATGGAAATGATCAAAGTGACTTACAGCTCTCAATCTCCAATGAACATGTTTGTGTGTCGAGAGGAAAGCGACTAAGGTCCATGTTGCACATGGCTGTGACTGTTACTCTGCAATCACAAAGCAAACATTCATTCAGTGATAGTAGATACAAGTTGATTCAGTGCTACAGCTAAAATAAAATACTCCCAAAAATCACAAACCAATTTAGATGGATTGGACAGACAGTGCTTTTCTAGCCTGTTGTGTTTGTAGCAGTGTCTAATGCTGCTAATATTCTCACTGTCTATAGAATCATTCGACCACTGTTCTCACTCTTGAAGGAGGCAGTCGCATTTTCCTGCTACTCTGCACCTCCCTGCTCTGTCCCTGCTTTGCTGTGTCTTGTCTTTTCTGAGCTCTCTCTTCATATCACCCGAATTCAAACAATGGATCTGGTCAACTGGTCTCTCAATGCAATTGATCAAAGTTTCTCAAGTGGAAGACGGGGAAAATGGGACCCTTCCTGTCTTGCTGGGACATACTCGGTGGAATACACAATGGACTCCTGGAAGGCTTGGAGGATGGTGTGTTTTAAAATGTTATCAGTGGAGGATGTGGAAGATGTATGGATTTTCAGATTTATGATACTCAGATTTCTCCTGTTTGGATCTGGAGGATACCTGATGTATCTACAATTACAGAGGATGTCTGCAGCAATTTGGGCACTGATCAGGCTGCCGGTAACTCAAAGGTGACATGGGAAAATATCCTGTATGTGCACGCTCGCTTCAAGGCAGAAAAGCCCGACAAATTTGGAATACTGGATTCAGCATGTGTAGCCAGCAAGAAAAGACTCAAGGCTGATGGAAAATTCCTGCGCAGCCTGCTCTCAAAACAACAACACAAAGTGTTATTTTGGACTCTTTATCAAACCTCCCCTGGATGTTATGGCAGAAGGGCAGTTTTGGGCCCCAACCCCCGCCAGCCCCGTGCAATTTGCAAATCGTAGTTGATAATAAAGAAATTGATTGACCTGATTAAAAATATATAGACTAAACATTTTGCACATATGCAGGCTGTTGAACCTGAATAAATCCATTTTATAACAGTTTTAAGTTGTAATATCATCTGTTAGTTTGTCTTGTCTTTAAATCATATCTATAACATTTTATCCACAGTTGTTTCTTGTTATCATAAAGGTTATTGATATAAAACAGCAGGTTGACTAAGCTTGATTTACAATCAAGAATACAAATTAAAATCATAGATTCACTGTTTTTCTAAATCTTGGTTGAATTTCTATAAATATTGTCTTTACATCAGAAACAGTTGTTGACTGGTCATTTCAGCTATGCAATGTAAATAAATAAAAGGCTGCCTTCACAAATGGCTTTTGATGTGATTTATTTCTAGAAATGCTATTAGCAGCCATTTGCAAGTCAAATCCCTACAGTTAGGGGACCTGCAGATAATATATGACTAGCCTTAGCCAAACATTACCCAGTCCATATTAATGGGCAGAAAACAAATCCAATAAAAGGATGCCAAGCAGTGATATAATCCAAATAATGGACGCAGGGAGTGAGGTATGGTGAGCAGGCGCAGTCAGTAAACGTCATCCTCATGTTCCAATCTGTTGTAGTCTGGAAAATCTCCAACCAGCTCTGGCTCTGACCTGATACAGATTAACCTTGGCCATGTGCTGACTATGTACGTAAATCTTTTATTGTTCTGTATACGATCGTCCAGAAGCAAGATTCTGATGCAGCCTAATGCTTTCTCTGTTGCAGGAAGTTATTGTTTTATCATCAAGGCTGAGCAGAAAACTGTTCTAATATTTAAATATTTAAGAAAAGGCAAGGAAGGTTCTTTATATAGCACAATTCGGTACATGGGAAATTGTTTTACTTGATTTAGATCATAAAATAGAAGAAAAATAAAAGCAGGATAAAACCAAATAAAGATTAAATGTGTGTAAAACAAATAAAATAAAAAATGAAATTCAAATTTTCTGTAAACAACTGTTCAAATGTTTTCTTGTTTGCATGAAACCATCTTTGCTCTCCAAATCTGAAATCTCTTATTTAGACATTGACTGTCCTTAACTCACCCCATCAATATTATCTCCTGGTCTGTTTATGGCCACCACCTAAAATACAATGCCTTTGGCCACTATGAATAAACTTCATACTCTTAACAATAATACTGTTTCATTAATACTGGGGATGCTAATATTACTGGCATGCCATCACTATTTGCTTTAAAACTAAATGTTGACATCGGTCAATCTCTCAATATAATTCACCGATATTTAAGGCAATGATTTTGTGACTAAAGAGTGAAGATCATGCCGCCACCAACAGCTTTACATGCACACAACTGATGCTTGAGTCTGTTAAAGCAAGGGTCTTTAATGTTTTCCAGGTCAAGGACCCCAAACTGATGGCGAGATGGAGCAGGGACCCCTTTATTATATATATTGTATGAATTGTGTTCTATCAAACTGGTCCTATTGACACTCTATTACAGATGGAGTAATGTAATGACAGTAATTTCTCCCTGGGATTATTAAAGTATTTCTATTTCTGATTCCTGGTTGATGGGACAGGTGTTGTGAATGAAACGGTGTCCAGCTTGAAAGATCTCCTGTGTGTCTCTGAATGTGTGCATTGATGACTGAAAGACATCTTCTGCCTCCATTTATCTGTTTACTACAGTCTGTTGAATTCATGTTAATGTGGATTTAAACACATTTCAATTAGTGGAAGAGAAATTGCACTGGTGGAATATAAAAAAAGTCTAATCAACCAAAACTTTCACAACCCCCATGCAGTACCTCTCTGGACCCCCTAGAGGTCGCGGACCCCCTGTTGAAGACCTCCGTGCTAAAGAACAGAGCCTGAAGTATAAATGTTTGTGGTATTGAAGTTTCTTAAAGTTTCAGTGACAGACAATCATGAACGGCCAGGAAGAAGAAAACTACATATTGTCTGTAAGTAGGTCTGAGAAAAAAACGTCAGCATCAGTTATTGGCCAGTTGATTAGTATATTATCGGTATATAGATATTTGCCATCATCTTGGCAATACAGTTAGACTTTGAGACTTGGACAGATGTATTGTACTTGTATATGCAAAACATACTTAAATATTCTGTATGATTATTGATTACATTCATTCTGCCACAGAAACCATCCTCTTCCTCCAAATGACTCTGAGAACTTTAGCAAAGCATTTTCCAACAATAAATTAGCCTTCAGAGCAAACAACAGTGAGATACCTGAGACTGTAAAGAACTTTGCCATCGGGGTAAACGCGCAGCATGACGTTGTCGGTGGTGGTGTCATGTGTAAAAGACCTCTTGGAGTGGACAAAGAACATGTCAGGGACCCATATCTTCTTCACCAGGCGACCATCGAAGGTCATGCTCTGGTTGGTGTTGCTTTTAAAGGACAGACGATCATCTTTCCAGTAGTGCCTCAGGTACAAGGTCATAGTGAAATCCTTTAGCAAGAAATTAAAAGTTGTTTTCAAGTAATGTTTAAAATGTTATTTTTAAAAGCTGTTGAACATTTACATACCATATCAACCTCTGAAATAGCATCCAGGCTTTCTACCTGAACGTCCACTCCAACTGGGACAGCAGGCCCTAGAAAAACAGGATGCAGCTGTTTACATAGAGCCACTAACTTCTCATTTACATCTGTGTTATGAAAGGCATGCAGATGTAACCCAGGAGCCTCATTTGGAGCAGCTAGGATTATCTGTCTTTGTTTAATTCCAACAGATCTGATTCAGACAATGACTTCTGCTCTCTGTAGCTAAATCCCTTTGAAAGCTGCCATGTGTGGATCTCCCTGGATCCTAAGCACATAAACAGAGGCATAAGTGCTCTAATCCCAACAAACAGGAAACAAACTGCTTTATTTTTCTTTTTTGTTGTTTTTGTATAAAAAAATGTAAATCCTTTTTATTGTCCCACAATGGGGAAATTTACTTCTGCATTTAACCCATCCCCCTGGGGAGCATTGGGCTGCCATTGTGTGGCGCCTGTGGAGCAGTGTGGGGTTAAGGGTCTTGCTCAGGGACCCAGAGTGCAGGCTGTGGAGATCTAACCAGATGCTTGCAAACTTCACAGAGCACAAGCGCATTGCTCTAACCACTAGACCAACACTCCCCAATGAGGCCAACATGCCTGAATCCGATATATTCTTAAGATAGCTAAAACCTGCACATGTCTCTGTGTGGACAGAGGAGAGTCGCCCCTGGAGAATTATCCCAACATGTTGCATGTCCTGATCGTCTCTGCCTCCTCATAATGGTGTCATCCTCTCTGTGTCAGGATGTCACACATGTTAAAGCAGGATAACAGGTGGCAGTGCCTTAAAGGAGGGAAGTGGGACCACATCTGTCTCTACATTGTCCTCAATAGGATGAACTCACGCATGTCTGTTAGTTTGCAGATTGAAGTGCAGATATCCGCTGCAGGTCACTTCCCCCTTTCTGAAAGACCCATTCGGTTTGTTCCACAAACTAAGTAACCTTTGCTTGTTATTTTGTTTCCTTGAGTAATTCTGTATTTTTGATGAGCTGTGAGTATAGATGAACATAAATGTTTATAAAAGTCAAATTTTGCCTCCAGCTGTTCAAAGTCTTTCCCTTATAGCTTAAAGCAGGTGGGTTTTTTTTTTTTGTAAAATGTGGAAGTTTATGTTCCTTGATAAAAAAAAAACTGAAGTAAACTTCAAAGAAAGTGTTGACATATGTTTGGTATGAAAAGTGGAAGCTTAGACATGAGCTATTCTGCAGGAGACTGAACAGGTCACCAGAGGTGTCACGTAACAAGGTACAAATACTCTGTTACTTTATTTAAGTAGAAATGTTTTCCATCTATACTTTACTAGAGTAATTATTTTTATGCAACATTTTACTTCTACCGCTTATATATATATATATATATCTATATATCTATATATTTTTTATTATTATTTTTTTTTTTCAATTATCTCTACTTTCTACTTGTTACATTTGAAAAATAGACTCATTAGTTTTGTTTCATTTAAGCTCATTTTCCTTATGACCTTTTGGTATATATAAAAAAAAAACTAATCATAGAAATAATTAGTTTCATCCAGACAATTCATTTCTTTGTGGTTGGACTCAGTGCTGCCCCAACTTGTTGCTCACCATAAACCAAAATAAATAGTTTTTCAAGATGATGCAAAGTTAAATGTGACACTGTTACCATTAGCTATAAAACTAAGAAAATGAAGTATAAGGAAGTTTTCGTCCAGCATTGTAGAAAATGTTCCTTTAATAGGGTAGAGCAGTAAAGCGTCTGTCCTTAAAATTTTTTCCTGAATTACTTTTATGCTTTAAGTAGATTTTAAAATGGTACTTTTACACTTTTTAAACAGCAGGATTTATACATTTAGTTGACTAACATTAATACTTTTGACACCTCTGTATGTGATGGTGGGGAAGAACTGAGGACATATGAAGGAACCTTTTGGGTGCATACTATGAAAAAAAGATGTCAACTTACAAACACAAAGAAAACTTTGAAAAATGAATATTTATTTAAGGGACCAGTAAACAACTTATATACAACATTAATAAACAGCCATCAGATGGACGTAACAAACAGAAACCTTCCCAGGTCTAAATCATGACAGGCTTCCGTGCAGGGGTCAACTTGGTAACTTAAAGAACCTCTTTATCGAACTAAAGGTTTGCAGGGACTGGGGAAGGTTAAAGTTGTTTTCTTTAAGCTTGAGAAGAAACACAGAAGATCTTTCTGTAAAAACACAGATGGCCTCTGCAGCATCATTTCCCACCATGTGACTGAGCATACAGTCAGGTCCTGTAGGGACTAACTTTACTTCATAACAAAGACAAATGTGTGAGTTGGCATTGGAGTCATTGCTCCTTTAATTCAGTCTTATGTCCTTTTGAAGACAGGATTTGCTCATGAACATTTCTATCTATTAATCCATGTTTTTGTTTTTAAATGGATCAAAAGTTACTCCCAAAACAAATAAGTGTAATTGTCAGTGTTCTCTAAATGTCAAACATGGCGTAATGTAGTGATGGTGCATTAAACACAGTCAACTGAGGAGCCAATAAAAAAGAATATATCCATTGTTGAAGATCTGCAGTGCAGACCAAAGAGTTTTTATATTCTGAATGCTGGAAGGAGATGTAGCGTCAGAGTCTCCAGGGTGGACAGCTTTGATGCTCTGAATACAGAGTTTTTATACTTTTAAGGCTAGGCTTAAAACTTTCCTTTTTGATAAAGCTTCTAGTTAGAGTGGCTCAGGTTATCCTGAGCTATCTCTATAGTTATGCT